AAAAAGTTAATTTAGATTATTTTTTATTTAATATAAAAAATTATAAAGATTAATTAAAATTTGAATAATTTTTATTAAAAGCAATTATTGATTTTTATATTGAAATACAAATCTTTTTGCATTGATTCATATTTTAATTAGAAGTTTATATTCAAATTTTTTTTATTTGAATTCTTCAATCTTATAAATTTTGTAATAACTATTTTCTAAATGATATCATAATAATTTTGTTATTATTTCTATTTTAAAATATCCTGAAGTAAGATCTTTATAATTATTAAATAAAATTTTCTTGATTTTGTAAATTTAATTATCTAAGAGAACTTTATAATATATTATTTCTATAAAATATTATTTCTGCCAGCAACTATTTTCATTATTTCTTTATATATTATATTTTCATAAATTTTTTATTGTAGTTCTACAACTTAGTATCACCAAGCCACTTAAGTTTGAACTGAGTTCGAATTCGAATCGGGCTTTGAAATTGAACTTTAGTGTATACATGTATTTTCCGAATACCCGGAACCAATCAATTGTTTTATCAGCCATAAAAAGAAATTATGTCTATGAATAAATGCGTCATCTAAAAATGGAACCTCCATTAATTAGCGATTACTGTTTCGATTTTTTAACATAGTTTGATAGGTTTCGCGACAAGACTCTACCATAAGTTTTGAAGAATAATAGTGAACAAAAAGACTAAAAAATGAGGTTTCAAGTTAACAAGCTTGGAAAAAAGAAATCAGATGGTAGCTTTTTGTTTCGTGATATCAACATTTTGTTAGACGAAGGCGAGACTTTGGCGATTACTGGACCAAGTGGTGTTGGGTAAGTAGTAATAATTAAGAAAAGCCTAACTATTAATACCTTGTATTTGGAAAAAAATTATACACTTAAACGCAATTTATCAAGAAAAACCACTTTATTGAAATGTATCGCCGAGTTGACAGTATTCGAAGAAGGATCGCTTTATTTAAATGAAAAGTATATAATTTTTATTTATTTTTTATGATTTTTATGATAAATTAATAATATTACAAATAATACAAATAAAAAGCACGCCCGAACAATACGGTATCCCGATGTGGCGGACACGCATAATGTATGTTCCGCAGAGACCTGGTATTTTTATACGAATTTTTAGTATATTCTCTATAGTGATTCAAATGAAAATCATAAAATAAATTGTTTAACAATTGTCTTTAATGATTACGAATGTAGCTATAATGCCCGGTACACCACTCGATTTTGTTGAGCGAATTCGTAAATACGTGACACAACAAAAAATGAAAAACAATCACAGTGACCCTGTATGTGCCATTTATTTACATACGAAATATAAAAAGAAATTAATAATTGTATATTTTTTCATAATGGATAGGTTGACATTTCATCACGGTAATTCAAATTTATTCAAAATTGATGTTATTCAAATAATTGAAAATTGTTTATCCTCGATACCCTCATACTAATGAGGATAGATGGGGTATCACAGAGGATCTCTGGCACAAAGACTACAACCAACTATCAGGGGGAGAAATGCAACGAATTTCACTTGCGATCGCATTATCTTGTAAACCGAATGTTTTACTATTAGATGGTAAGTAAATCAATAACAATTCGTGAGAACTTAATACTTTTTTTGATACACGAACAAATATTTATTATAAATAGAACCAACTTCGGCACTCGACCATCAAACTTGCCTGCTGGTAGAAGAGTCACTTCGTGAGTACGCTTGTATCTGGGTCACACATGATCCCGAACAGGAAAAACGCGTCGCGACAAAAACGTTAAAATTAGAAAGGCTTGGAGATAACGCAGTGGTGGCGGATTCGGTTAATGATGTTGCGGTGGCTGTTGATATGTAATTATAGTGGCCGAAGACGCAAGAGAAAGGGAAGCTGTGGCAGTTACACTATTCCCTTGCAATAATAAATAAGATTAATAAATATAACTTAAAAAGAATTCGAATAATATTGTATTTGAATTTTAATGGTACTATATACACATAATATTAATGTATTTAAAAACATGTAAGAGAAATAAATTAATTTAATATGTTTATTATTATAGTCATAACGATTAAAAAGATGTCGATAATATATGCATAAAACTTAGTTTCCTCACAGAGTATTCGATGACTATAGATAATAAGCACCGTTTGAAAAAAATCATAAATATAAATAAAATAATGGAAAAAGAGTAGAATGATTATTTATAACAATGATCCATTCTTTTTTTGTTCAAAAAGTGGCAACTCAACAAGTGCTTCCAATTGCTTGATTGCTTCTGCTGATTTTCCAAGCTCTACTTCTGTTGAGGAAAAGATATTAATTTAGTCAATATGTGAAAAAAAATTATACTATCAAAATATCATAGCACCCTTCTATAAGGCCTCAATCAACTTACTGATCGTTTTCATTCCTAGATCTTTAGCGGATTTTAAATTTCTATTTCATGTGAGATGATTTATTGAAAAGTTAAGAGATAATAAGCATGTACATGTTAAAATTGAACGCTTCCTTACATTCCAATATCATCGAGAAAAATAACTTCCTTCGGGCTAACTTCCAATCGTTCACAGGCCAATAAAAATATTTTGGGATCTGGTTTTCTATATTAAATAATCAATAGATAAAAAAAATCAATTACAAAATAAAACAAGATTAATGCCAAAAATATTAAATCCAATCAAAAACCTTAATCCAACAACACTCGACTCTATAATCACATGAAACAACTCGTACAATTCCTCAATAGGTGTTGGTACTGCACCTCCTTTTCCTCCTCCCCAAGCCGCCACTTCTTTTCGATCCGACTCGTGTGCAGGCGCTGGAAAATTATTTGTCAAAGCAGCAATTTTATATTTGTTACTGGCGCGAAGACATTTTATCGCGTAAAAAACTGTCGGGTCTACTATTAATGTCTCGGATATTATGTACCGGAATAATAGTTTACCATCGACGGTTATTGATGGTATTGATGATAATGAATTGGACGATTGATCTTATAAAACATGTTTAACTAAATTTAGTATTAATTCAGGGATTTACTTTGTAGAATTTTTACATACTTCCGCCATTACGTGAATTAAGATATTGTTGGTAGTACTCTTTATTGATCGGATCTGAAAGCTCTTTGCCGAATATCTCGTAAAATTCTGGAATTAATAGTTCGCCACGTTCAAAGCGCTACCATATAAAAGAATTTTGGATTTATCGAGTTCATCATAAATTTTAAAGAATATAAAAACAGTGAGAAAACTTACTTGGAACGCGCCATTCTCGCCTCTTTTCATACTAAATATGACAATTATAATTTCTTTAATTACATACTAGAAATTCATTCATCGGTAGGAATTGGAACCGAATGACGCTTAATTTGTCCGGCATTTAATATCCTTGATAATTTTGGCAGATGATTTCGGCACGGATTATTAAACAGTCAAATGTTCCAATCCCTATTAGTCTTAAATTCTCCCATGCTCATAGTAAAAATTGTCTACGTTGAAAATTATATATAAATAATATTCGTACATTGCTACATTAATATAGTTTGGAGGCAACCCATGTTCCTTTTCATATTTAGAGATGCCTTGCATAGGGGAACCAATACAGACTCCACCCAAATCGAAAATTATCGCTTTGTAGCTCGTAATGGAGATAGACATTGTTTTTTACACTGAGAAAATTCAATAGTCCTTTCCTTAAAGCAACCCCCTTCACAAGCAATATGAAATGTTTTATCTTTGGTATTATTGATTTGCAATATCCCGACATCTAGTGATCCGATTCATACAAAATCTACTACCACTCGACATTCGATTTTTCGAATTAATGAATAAAGTATAAATCAATGGTAAATAAAAGGAAAACGTCTTCCTATAAATATGTAATTTATTCTTGCACGAGTTATAGGGATATAGCTAACCCTATTGTAAATATTCGAAAATATAGAAATTATTGAGCTTTTTCACGTGTATCCAATTACACTTGTAAAGTTAATCGGAAGTCAAGCTCATGTAAGCTATGTTAGCTTTCATGATTAATGCACTCATTCTCTTTTGAAAAACTATCAAGAAAACTGTAGTGCAAGATATTTATAATTTATAATCTTAATACTTTTTGCTTTCTGAATCCTACAGGTATTAGGTAAACCTCGCGCACCTTATCTCTTTATTTAAGACGCGACATCTCAACATCCAACGATCGGAGACTACCGCCATTCAATTCATCTTGTGAATATGAATCGAATGATCTGGATATCGTGTCCAAAGTAAAAAGGGGGTGCGCGAGAATAAGTGAATTTACCTTATCGTTACAAATTTGTAACGGGAAGGTCAGAAGTTAAACTAATTGTTTCTAATAAGTTCATACCAAATAAATAAATTATTCAGTTGTACTTTATTCAATAATAAATGAAGCAATACTTTTCTAAGAAATTTTTTTAAGAAATATAAAGTAGTTATTAGTTCAAAAGTTATTACTAGTAAATTTTTTCTTATAAATATATATAATTAAAAAAATATATTAAAAATAGATTCTAATATTTAATGACTTAATTAAATTAAATAAGATAGCATTAAAATTTTAGTTTAAAAAAAATAATTTATTAATATTTATTTGAAATATAAATATTTTTGCATCGGATTATAAAATATATTTATTATTTTCATAAATCATTCTAATTTATGAATTTTATATCTTAAAATTTTGTTATAAAAATCAATTTAGATTATTAAAAATTTATTCAGAATAAAAATTTAGATATATTGTGTTTTTAATAATAATTTATAATTTAAATAAATTTAAGCTCTTATTTTATATATAGTAATATGCAAAAAGAATGACAATTAGTTTTTTTGATTATAATAAATTAAATAATTATTTAAATAATATAAGTATTATATATATTCTTTAATATCTAGAGAATAAGTTTACTTAAGATTATAAAATAAAAAATCTTAATAAATTTTTCATAAATATTA